ATTATTATATATATATATATATATAGTTAGATAAATACATACAGATATACATATGCTATATCTATACATACATGTGTATGCAGAATTAAGATAATTTGCAAATTATGATACTTTTATAAAAAGAATTGAGCCAAAGGTACTAATTATGCCACCAAAGAATTATGCAAATGTTCAGAGTTGAAAGCATAAGCATATATGTGCTTACGTATCTGCAGAGCTGTGACTGTAGAAGGGATATAAGCGCACAAGGTTTTTCGTTGATCTGTGTGTTCGTATTCCTGCATCACATCTGTCATGTTTCTCATGAGAATCGGTAAATAAAGTATCAGGTAAAGTGAGTAGCCATGAACATATGAATGATGAAATGCAATCGATGATTGTCAGCAGAGTGGAAGCATGCAAAATCATAATTGCAGGTGACAAGAGAGCTCAACAGAATACTCAGTGCCTCCTGGAAATAGTTTCAGAACACTAGATCTATATTGAGAAGACCAGGACATGGTCGACCAAGATCCACAATGAAAAAGGATGATTGTTATTGGCACTTTCATCACATCGAAATATGATTGCTTCACAGCTCTCACACGAGCTGTACGCTGCCACTGGAATCCAAGTTTCATGGCCTACTGTTGCCGGAAGGCTTCATAAGACAGGACTCCATACCAAGACAGCTGTTCGTGTTTCGCTAACTGCAGCACACAAGAACACTTCAGCACATGCTTAGCATGATGCAGACAAGATGTTCCTTGGGCCAAATTTCAGTGGAGAACAGTACTTTTTACAGATAAAGGATCATTATGGTGGTGAAGGTCTGATGGCTTGGGCAGGTATTATGCTGGACGGCCACACACCCCTGCATGTGTTTGACAAAAGCTGCTTGACTGCTATAAGATGAGGAGATTTTAGTTCGACTTTTCAAGTTCGTAGTTCGCAGTTACTTCACTAGTTTACTTGTATCTTCATTTTCTCCACACTACGTAACATCAAGAATGTCTCAGTCAGATAAAATCCTAATAGCTACGATTTACACTCTTTACTCTATTGAACATTTCTTGTTTCTCTTTTATTTCTTATCAAAATTTAAGTTCTTCAACATCTTCCTGTTTATTCATTAAAAGTTATGTGACATTAAAAGATAATAACAACAGGTACTTCCTTATCAATTACGCCTTCTAAAATTTGTAATGGTATACAAAATTAGATTTAATCATAATGTGATGGTGTACAGCAGGGATGTCAAACTCATAAGTACACTTGGGCCAAACAAACAAGGTTTAACTTTAGGCAGGCCGCAAAAAAAAAAAAAAAAAAAAAAAAAAAAAATCAATTTTCATAGATACGTAGATTTATTTCGAATAATACAATAATAAACATATATATATTTATATAGAAAAGAACAAGAAAAATTTAATGTTTACGTCCTGATACTTGACATCTCTTCTCTGCTATTATCTTTCCTATTTCGGGAGAAATTTTGTTTGCAGTGATAACTTTCAATGCTGACCCAAGGTGAGCATCATTAATACGGTTTCTAATAGGAGACTTATTACCTTTCATGACTGAAAATAACTGCTCGCACCGATAAGTGCTACCAAACATGGAAATAATTTCATATGCGAATTTTCGAGTATTTTCAAACCTGGCTGGTAAATATTTGTAAAATTCAGGCACGCCCACTTCAATGAATTTTGCTTTCAAATTTGAGTTGCATTGAATCTCGATCACCTCCATTTGCATATGGCTGGGTACTGAGTCAATACTTATTGAGAAAATCGAGAAAACGAAAAAAAATTGTCTTTGAGGGAATTAAAATCATTAAACCTCGTTTCAAATTCAGTTGTTAAATTTGCAATTTTTTCTGCGTATTTTTGATACAAACAAGTATCATCTAAATTTGATTTGTTCATGTTGCACGTCGGGAAGTGCGTCAAATCTTCATTTTTAAGTTGTTTTTCCCAAAGAACTAGTTGACATTTGAATGCTTTAATTATGTCAAACATGTTCATAATGATAACGTTTAGCAAAATAAACATTTAGCAAAAATCAATTCAAAACAGAGAAACTAATTCTATCTCACAGCGAAATCACTACAAATCAATCACAGCATTAAGTAAACAAACAGTTCGCTAGAACTAAAGCTACTACTGAGATGAGTTGTTTGTTCTCGGCTTTTATAAGCTTTATAATTAATTTCTCGAATATACTGAAAACATCTATAAATATCTGGATTTTTGTGGATGGCAACAGCAATTACGAGATATTTATTTATTAGGTATTAAATGCACACGCTGTTCTATTTTTAACATTCCAACGCAGCTGTCTTTTCAAAAATCGTCTGCGTTGCTAAGGCAACATGAAGCAAATCTAATTACAATTCAAAATTAAAAAAAACTAAATAAATAAATAACTATGAAATCCGTAACAATATGAATTAAGTAATAATCAATAATAAAGCAAAGTGCATGCACATGCATGCACATATATATCGTACAAAACTATGATTGGAAAATTGAGACCATGAGTTCGGCCACATTCGGCTATCGGGGGATGTGTACAAGTTCTGAGGGCATGTGTCCCCCAAAAGCCGAAGGTAGCTGAACGCAAGCTACTCACACGCATTTGTAATTTAAGTAGTGTGTGTGTCAGCTCGCTGTGAGTAATCTAACAACACTGAATAAATTATCGTTAATTACTTAGCAGTAAACATTTCATTTTTTTCCTTCGTCGATATGTTATTTTATTATTATATATTATTATTTGTCGATATATTGGCCGGGCCGTAAAAACATTTTTTGTGGGCCGCGAGTTTGACATCCTTGGTGTACAGTATCAAATAATGTGAAGGAGGTAATATAAAAGTACCCAATAATTCATTTCCTGCTGTTGAAAATGAAAACTTCATGAAGTGCTCCTCACTTTAAGTCACAATACTAATTGTAATTCTTAAAAATTCTTGCAAACCACAGACACAAAAAAAAAGTTGAACCCATCAGAACACATTTGCAATAAAAGTTGCTCTTTTTTTATTGCACTAATTGCAATTAAAAAAAAAAGAGATGCACAGCTAGATGTTACAGCAGTCATTTTTGAATTATATGAGATACATATACAGTCAAAAGTCGTTAATCCGGACTCGTCGGGATTTCGGCGATTCCGGATTATAGATCATCAGTTTAAATCTGGTAAGATGGCATGCAGAAATTATAATATTAAAAATAAGAAACCGTAATTTATGAAATAAAGAACAATTATGATCTAAAGTGTATCAAAATTTACAAAAAAAAAGCTTAATATTTATTTGTTTACTTTATTAAACATTTCTTTCAATGAAAGTTGTTTAAGTTGCTTCGTTTTATGTGATAATACTTTCTCTTTAATTCTATACACAGACATAATTTCTTTTTCAGTTACAAAGTTCCGCTGTTCAAGTCTAATAATTGCTGTGTCGAGAATACCGACTAATTTGTCAAATGAAATTTTTTCGTTTTCAATAACCTCTGTGTCACTTTCTTCACTATCGGAAGCGAATTATAATGACAAGGAATTTGATTTAAATCATATCAAAGATGAAGTACATCGAAATGAAATACTACATATAGTAAGGAATTATAAGCCAAATAAAATAACATCTGCCCTGAAGATAAGGATAGTGCTGACAGATCAACTTCTAATTTATTGTGCACCGCGCCGTCCCCCCCCCGGCCGCAGAGCAGCATGAAATTGATAAACAGATTTCGGAATGGTTAGAGAAACAAAGGATATGCCTTTATTCCATTTTTTGCAGCAATTCCACTTTTTGTTTTAATGGACTTCGAAACATACTTTTCGCTTTGTAGATCCTTTGGGAGCTCCATATCGGAAAATTCTGTTTGACATAATCGAAAGTTCAAGCTTACTTTTATAAAATTGCTCTAACAGTCTGCAAAAAAATAATAAGCCGGATCCAATTCGAAGATTAAGGAACAACGCAATCTGCAACATTAACTGAAAGAGATAATTTTAGCTTATATCGTCCGTTATACGAGTCCGGATTAACGACTTTTGTCTGTATTTCTGTTGAAATATGACCCCTAAAATTTTTTGAAGATGATAACAATGCCTTTGCTTCATACAAAGTTTAATAAAAAATAAAGAGAGGAAGAGAGAGTATACTGCATTATCTAGCCAGAAAAACAAAATGCAAAAGACCGGAATTTAAAAAGAGTAAATAATTATTAAAACAGGATGAATTTAAAAGAACAGAAATTTTACAATAAGAAATTCCACTTACTTCAAACAATATTATCTACCTGTAACAATAATTTGTTTATTTACTAATAACTATTTCAAACATATTAATGTCCTGGAGATAATAATTTCTGGACCAGAGAGAATGGTTTATTTAAACTTTTAAAATCACACTTTATACAAAAGTGCATGTGTGTGTGTGTGTGTGATTATGGCAAAGCACCAAGGGCTATCTGCCTAAAGGGAGGGATGCCTTCGTGGAGAACTTTCTAAGGAAAACTGGCTCATATACACGTTACATATGGGGAAAACCACGAAAATGCCCATTCAGCCAGCTTGTTTGCGGGATTCGAACCTCAGACCAAACTACCAGTATTCAGCGACTTTACCGCTCGACCGCATACAAAAGTACATAAAACAAAACCAACAAAAATTACTACAAAAAAGGTAATAAACAGACTAAAACATAAAAAAATTTAATTTTAATATACCTATATGAAAGATAGCAGACAGAATAAGTGAGAAGGAATGAGGAAGAGATACTATTATGTTGAAAGTCTCCTATCATAAAAATATCAAGACTCTTCTTTTATTCTTCGAGCTATTCGACTCAGCTTAAGCCTCCTTTGACTCATAATTTCCCCCTGTGTGACTTTTGGTAAGCTAGGTTTTAAAATGTTGCTAAAGTGAAATGTGCCATTTTTAATGAAAATGCTTGTACTCTAGCTTGTAATTTATCGGAGTGGTATCATTCCATGCCTTGCATCTTTATCCTATTTTGCAGAAATTTCACAGATCAAACAATTGGGTTCATCTCCTTTTCCTATGAAGACACTTTCTCCACAGTTACCTTTTGTTGCTACTTCTGAAGCTATCTCAGTTCTTTCTTGTTTGAGCTCATTTTTATGGTCTAGCAAGTCTTTTATATCTGCAGTGTTAACTTCCAAGTACATGGTCTTATCTAGACACAGAATATCATAGATAACCAAAAACTTCCAAAGTTCTCAAAATGTCTGCCTGCAATACAATCTGGTTATAATTTTCTCCAGACTGAATTCATGTTTCTATGAGTTCCCTGTAACCAGTTTTTATTTTTATTATTATTATTTTATGACAGTTAAAACAATAGAAAATACTAAAATAAGGTTTATGATAGATCATAAGTGTTAATTCTGTATCAGAATTTACTTAGAATACCTTTTAAAAATCATATGTTGCTAACCTGAATATTCATAATTCAAGACACTATCTGTCATCCAAGCTATTTTTTGCTAAGATTTGCTTTTTGGAGAACCAGTTTATTCATAATTTAAGATTTTATTGTGCAGCATAATTCTGATAATATTAGATTCCTTTTAGTAAGAGTGTGTTAATATTTAGACTCACTACTTGTTTGATGACATTTTATGACAGCACAAACAAAAATTTCATGCTTTGAGAAGGATGCATTTCTAAGAGAAAATTTTTTATGTTAATTCCATTATAATTTCATAAAATTTATCGATACAATTTCATCTTATACATCACAGATGTAAAATTAAAAATATCACAAAGAACACTGAAAGAAAATAAATCTTAATGCAATGTTTTTAAGTTTACATCCTGAACTTTTCATTATTCATGCATGCAGGTACTTGAAAGTGTTGAATGATAAAATAAAAGGGATGTGGGATTTAAAATATATTTAGGGGATTTGAAATATGTAATATTTGAAATATAACTTTAGGGATTTGAAATATATGACACACAGATATTACTTAAAGCAAAGCTTTAAAACTTACATAAATGTCTTCTGAGAAACTTCTTACAAATTTTCTTGCAGAAAGTTCTTGAATTTGTCCTACTTTGAAGTTTAAAAGCCATCTTGATATTTATCTCAAAATTTGGTGATGTTAGGCTACAAACTCAATTTACCCAAATAATCAAATAACCTGTCTGTAAAGTCCAGTGTGATGTTTCACTTTCGCTTCTGTCTTATCATATTTTTGCCGGCTTCTTGAGCTAGAAATATCTCGATCTGATAACATTCAACAACTTTGATTTTGTCCTTCCATTTCCCTCCCCCCAAATCCCCAAACTCAGGAAATGTTTTCACAAAAATATGACATTGCTACTGTTTCACTGCTAGAGCTTTCCAACCCTGAAGAATTAAGAAATTTATTTTCAGAATCTGTCTAAATTCTAGTGATATGAGAAATCTTATAAGTACACAAAAGTACAATACATACAAATTAAACTATTAGTAGCACCTTTATCCCTTTTAGCAACCCTTCATTTTATTCCAATTTACTTTATACTTTTTCCTAAAGCATGACAATGAGAAAATGAATAATTTGCACGCAGAATAACTGGAAAATATGTATTAGACAAGATTACATGAAAATTTTATGCAGATATAAAACTGCATTTTGCCAAGTAAAAAAATTATTTCTATAAATTAAACCAGTCAACATTTTTAGAAAAATGCATTTTTTAATCCCATATTTTCATTTTGTGTTACACAATACCTAAAATCATCATTTTTATGTATTAAATATATTTTCTACTTTATACAAATGAACGAACACATTATATGCATGTTTTAGAAACATTGATAGCGGAGATATTGATCCATAATTAACAGCAGGCAACCAAAGCAAATTAAATATTCATTTTTATTTCAACTGACAACTGTCACCACAATTCACTTGGGACTCATGCGTGCTTCGAAATATTCACACTTTTTATACTGTTGCGACAGGAAGACAACAGCACCAATGGCGAGAGAAGCAGAAGTGCAATGTATAGTTTTTTTTCAAGATGGAATATTATTAAGAGAAAAAGTTTTGGTTTAAAGTCCAAATTAACCACACCACCATTTTATGTAAAAGCCATATAATATGGATTATTCTAAAGATGATGCTGCTCATAAAAAAATTATAATTATTTTCAGAATAGAGAAAGGAAGTACACAAATTAAAATGAGGAATTAAGGGGCTACTGTAAATTCAATTTATAATTATGATTTGCATGTTTTTTATCTTACATAGCCCCTTTCAAAGCAAATAAGCACTAGCAATCGAGTAGCCTTTTTAGAGGTGAAAAATGAAAATCATAAAATTTTGACCAAATAATTATTTGAATAATTGTAAAATATAAACTTTGATAATATTTTAGAATCCTATTAAATTTTCAGTCCAAAAATTTTTTGGCTAATCTTTATTCTACTGTACCCCTTGGGTTTTTTCTGAAAAAATTGACAAGGGCTATTGGTTGTTAGCCAAATCTGGACATACGCCGCATGAAGGAGATTTTTTGGGAACCAAATGTTGATAATGTTAGCAAAACTACTGGTTACCATGACAGTTTTAACTTTGTTTTAGCTTCCTGATTTTTTTTTTTTTTTTTTTTTTTTTTTTTTTTAGGTAAAAATACATTGATGTGTACATGGGCAAAAATAAAGCAATGGGCAATGCCTAGTTTGTGCAATTCTCTGATTTTTTTTAAGTGAAAATACATCGATGTGTACATGGACACCGAGTTTGTGTAATTCTCTGATTTTTTTTAAGTGAAAATACATCGATGTGTACATGGACACCGAGTTTGTGTAATTCTTTGACTTCTTATTTTTTGTGTAGCAGCCATCTTGAAATAGTACTTTCCTGGCGCCGATTTTGGCGTCAAAAGAGAAAAGATTTGCCAAAGGGTACCATACAATAAATTTTTACTAGTTTTTTTTATTATTCTAGAGCACACATAATATATCATATTTGTTCATCATATATAATATTTGTTGATATTGTGTGAAAACTTTCCAAAGTTTTTCACACAATATCACAAATATAAAAATTTTAAATGCCATCACTTATTTTAAATAATCACAACAAATTTCAAAATTTCTTAATGAAACTTACTTTTACATATAAAAAATACTTTTTAACATCATAAATATAGTAGTAATACTGCTGAAATTATAGTTTCACTGCTGTTACCAAATTTCTAATTTTCTTACTTTATACAAACTGGAAAGCTTTCTCCAAATCCAAACATTTCCATCTATTGGGCATACCCACTTGAACTAACTGATGTATTATTATTTATGAGCAGTTAAAGGTTGCTCGGCAGTTCGTTACAAAGGCATCCATTCCTTGCATAAGATAACTAGACTTTGTGAACTGTACTAATATATTTGAATAAAAATAACAAAGTACTAATAACAATACATAGAAAAATTACGCTCAAATCATAAAATGGGAGCCTCCAAAATTACATTTTGTGAGGACAGTAAAAGGAACAATTGCACAGAGGTAATAAAAAGCCCTCGTTTCTGAACCAGTATTCCTTCAACATACTCTATACTTAACATACAATTATCCATAAATTTAAGATTATTTATCGTAATTCCAAAACTACTTTTTTTTATATATTTTACTTTTAATAACATTATTCATATCAATTCAATTTCTAAAATTTTTCATGTTTCTATATTCATTACAATAAATATTCACTATCAGTGAGTTAAATATTTTCTACATTATACTCAAAATACAATTTCATATCCATTTTTCTGTACTAATATTTCAAAATTATTTTATTCATTTTTTTAAGCATTTAGATCAATTTTAAAATAAGTCAAAGGTTTTTTAAATAATAATTCCAAAATTTAATATTATCAATTACAATAATTTTAATAGCCTTTTCTAAATAAAATACAGTCAAATACCGAAAATCCGCCGACCTGAAATCCACGTTGCCTCTCAAAATATAAACATTAAATTTATAGCTTTCGGAAACCGCAGCATGGAGTACGAAATATCGAAGAAAAAAATGCTTACTGGATAATGACATCATAATTACCGAATAATAATCAGTCATAACGGAAATACCAAATTATTGACATCATGATAAGAGTTTTTTCCCCTCCAATCTTCATCGAAGTAAAAATGCAGACAATTAACCCTCTGAGCGGCCAAGGTTTTCGCTAAGAAAGCACAAATTTCCCAAAACTACTATGAGAACAAATTATTTTTTTGATTTTACTGTAAAAACTCTCCTGTTATTTCATACCTGGATTTCTTTCCTTTTGATATATTGCCTTAATTTCTTTGACATATTTTAATATGCACGTATATATACGTTCTTACAGATATCACAAAAAATATTCTAGGCCGTACATATATGGCCTTGCCGCTTTGAGGGTTAACTCAACTCTTTTTTCAAGTTCAAGCTTCGTGTTGTTATACTTTCTGAGCTTTGTTATTTCATGAGATTGTTTAGTGATGTAGTTTTTTTTTTCCCCTGACAATCTGAGGATAAATTAAGAATTGCTACTGCTCGGTTTATAGCAGAATCGTATGGAATTGCCAAACGGACTGTGTATGATATACGGAACAATAAAGAATAGTTGTTGAAATTTTACAGCAACAGTGATTCTAACACCGGAAATCTTTACACGAGACGAAATCGGCAAAACTCGATGCTGTCTTGTACGAGTGGTTCCGGCAGCTGTGAAGTGATGGGGTACCTATTTCAGGACTACTCCTTACATGAACTTTGTTCATGCAACAAGGGGCCAGATGTTTGTTCAAGAGAAAAAGGGGAAGCAGATTCATGCTGATTTAAAAATAGAGGAGCCTAATGTAAATGAACAATGTAATATAATCAGTTTATATATGTAATAATAATTTAATGCATATAATTAATTATTCTATTAATGTATATAACAATTTAATTAAATGTATTTAATACGCCTTATTTATTTTGCACTTTTAGTCTGAATATTATCTTTTCTGTCCTAAAATCTGCAAAATCTTAAAATCAGCACAACCTCTGGTCCCAAGCGTTGCGGATTTCTGGACTTCTATTGTACTTACAAATCTTTAAAATTCATTACTTAATTTTATTAAACATAATTATAAAAAAATTTAATTTTTTACACCATAAAATTTTAATTTTTTTCATAAAATAGCACTAAATTTAATCCAATATAAATAAGAAAACAACATAACATATTTAACCCTTTGCATTCAGAGCGTTTTTCGCGCAGTGCACATCTTTACACCTTTATAAACATGATTTGGCTAATCTTTGGAATATGGTAACAGGTAGTTTGACGACATTTTGGTAGGCGATAAAGGTTACTACCTAGGACTTTGGCAATAATGTGAGAAGTACACAGTTCCAATTACACATTATTTTGTGTGAGAGAAATGAGAGATGTCATGTGACATTTATGGACGAATCACAGTTCTTTAATCGGAAAAGGGGGAAATTTGGAAAAATATCTGCAGTACTTTATAGCATTTTGTATTTAGCTTCATTGTGTGTTGTGTGAAACAGTGTTGCTTAATTTTTGGATCCCATGGCACTCTCTAAAGTGAATTCGAAATTTTTATTGCGTTTACCTGATAATCCAAAATAATTGCTTGAATGGTGTATGAGTGTAGGATTAATTGCGGATAAGTATGAATTTTAACATGTGGGAATGAAATGAGATAAAAGAGAGATTGTGTGAAAGGAAGGATATTACAGATAAGTTTGAATGGACGGTGCAAGAAATTCTGGTGAAAATGGACATTTTGTGATCCACCATGCACTCAAGATTCTGTAGAAGATTTAGGTAAGTTAGTATTTTTAATAATTTGAGGATATTATTTTTATGCATTGTTCTAAATATAAGGAATAAATAAATTAATATGCTATTATTGGAAAATGTTTATTAGCAATGAATTAGTTTTAAAGTAATTAAGATTTTAAGTAAATTTTTATTATTTAACCCCTTCACACACAAATGGCATGATTTATGACGTCTCTTTAAATCGTTGTTTATTCGCACATGGTAGTTGTTTATTGTTAAGTAGAGAAGTTTCATTTTGCGCTAAAGCGTTGGGTATTTCAGTTTGCAGTTTCAGTTTTTAGAAAATAATTAGATCTCGTTAGATGTGAATTCTTTCTGTTTTTACCGTTGCAATGTCGAAGCGTCGAAAATGTTTAACAGAGCATGAAATAGCAGAAATGATGCAAAATATTTCAGATATTGATTCTGATAGTAGTGATAGTGGTTCTATGATATATTCTGATCATAAAGAATCTGGCAAATCTAATGATGATGAGGACATTTCGGCCGAAATGTCCTCATCATCATTAATCCTTAATTAATTAATGTCCTCATCATCAATGTTGTTATTATGAGTGCAAGGAATGTAACGTAAGACTGTGTGTAGATCCCTGTTTTCAAATTTTTCATACGAAAAAAGAATTTTAAGTAATATATTTAGTTTTCAGATGTATAATGTTAAAAGTCATAAAATGGTGAGTAATGAAAATAAAATGTGTAAAATATGCATTTAAACAAGAAATAAGTAATTAAAGTATATATAAAAATATCTATAAAGCATAAACCGTTTAAATAATCTATAGAGCATTATTAAACAATAAATCGGAAATTTCATGGATTTAGGCTTAATAGCAAAAAAGCCCCCAGCCCTGGACAGACGCTCGCGTAAGACACTGCCGGCCTCCACGATAAGCGTGCGTTTGCGCTACCTGGCGTGAAGGGGTTAATGTATGTGTTTATTTATATTTTAAGTAGTGTTTTTTAATTTAATTATATTTTAATTAAATGATAGCTATTTTGTGAATTATATGTTTGTAGCATTTTGGAATACGGTTCAGTAGAAGTAAACGTGCATGGAAATAATTTAAATATTTGACAATAAGTATTTGCAACCATTTTTAATGTTTGCGTTATAAATTCGCAGGTTACGTTTATAATAGATAATTTAGAGGGAAAAGTTTTTGCATATTTTATTTACGTGCAAATGTTCATCTTGGAAAGGGTATATACTTTTTCGCGATCAGGTAATTTCATATATGTCCTTTTTACCAACTTTAAGATTCACAAAACTTTCCTGCATTTTCATGCAAATTTTTCTAATTTATGAGAAAAAAGCAGTGTACATGGATAAAGTGAAGAGTGTGTGCAATGCCATTTTTGTGCAATTCTGGGATGTTTTTTTAAGCAAAAATAGGTCGACGTGTACATGGTTACCGTGTATGTGCCATTCTGAAAAACACGGCAAGGAGTTTGCGATTCTGCACTTTCTCCCAATTTTGCAGTTAATATTCATCATGATTAAGCATTTTGCTCCATAAAATTTCTAGCATAAGCGTAATTCGGCTAGCAGATTGTTGGAAAAAATGTTGAGTAAATAAAAAAAAAAAGAAACCTGTCTTTACTTCGTGAAGACAAAATGGCGTCAAAAAAAAAAGTAGAAGGTTGCTGTAGCAGGGTTGGTTGCCAAATTTTAGCCAAAAATCGTTAAGTTACCATTATCCAAAGACTAACCCATGATTTCTTAAATATTACTCTCTGTAATTTTTCCGTGTATGATATTTCATGTAACAATTCGCAAGATGCAAGTCCGGCTTGTCGGGGGAAGTATTACAATAATATGTTGTTTGATGCCTTTTTCCGGGTTCATTTCTCCAAGAACAGACTTTGTGTATGATAAGAAAATCTTATCTCCATTTAAAGGGGTATCACTTTATATATACTTCATAAGATTATACAGAAAGAGCATAAGGACATGCTTCGAAGAAACTAAACGCAAACAGTTATTGCCGCACATACAGTTTCCGCATCAAAGCAAGTGGTGAGCGAGAGTCACCTCTCAAGTTGCTGCATCAAATAACATAATGAGCGAGAGTCATCTCTTGAGTGCAAAGTTTTAATATTTCAAAACAATGATAATGATTAGCAGTTTCAATAATTTAATTCTAGTCGCACTAATAAGAACCTTTTTTTACACATGAAACACTAAATTTTAAAATCCATAGCATTATTTTAGTTTTTCATTATTCATTTCATTTTGACAAACATAACATTAATGATGAAGAGAGTAAGTAAAAGTAGCTTATCACACACAAACATGAAGCACATTCTTTAAACTGAGATTAAAACCTTCACAACCAATGAAACTACGTATTTGAAACGATTTGGAATGTTTGTATACTGTATCTTTGAAAACACTCATCAAATCCTTTTTTTAATATAAACACTATCCTGGATTAATTTTCTGATTTTTTTCCCAACTTCTGAATATTAAATAGATCAAAAGCAATATTACATATGGACAGAAAATAAAATAAAATTAGTTGTCACAGCAAAGCTTTAACTCCTTGTTCGTTCACACACTTATTTGAATTTTATAGATAAACTGCACGTTAAGATGGGCCTCATTTTGCATAGACAAATTTAAATTTCAGGCAGGGATTTCTGAGACAGATGATACCCTATCAACTAGCTAAAATATTGTGTAGAAATATTCATAATGTATACATTGATCTGTAATGAAGAACCGAACTCTCCAATGTATCATAAAAATAAAAATAGACACCACCTGGGAAAAAAAAAAAAAGGATTGCAGGGAATGAGGATTACCTAGTTCTATTACAACTTTTGATTCCAATTTTTCTTTATTCCAATTTTTGATCTCACAGTTATAAACTGTACATGTTCATACTAATTACATAAATAGAATATCAATAAATATATTAATATGACTTTTTTTAGATATCATATTCTGTCACCAATTGAATATCGATCAACAGATTTACACTTCTGTAAATTCAAAGCTTAAATACCTCCATGGCCATATGCCATAACTATAAATATAAATTCATTTTATTCACCATCTAAACATCTTAGAACAAGAGCTGTGAGATTTTAAATTTACTTCTATTAAAAATTATTTTAAATTTTCTTTCCTAGGAACCCAATCTAATCCCAAAGCTTATTAAAATAATACTGATAGTACTGTTCCCAATTTAGTATTATTATTTTTTTAAATTCTACATTCAGCACAATAACAAAGGATGCTCAATATAAATCAATGCAAAAAAAAAAGCTGGAGTACTTTTAGCATCTACACTTACTCATTCTAGGACACTTAACTCATTGTACGATTCATTTTTAATGGTGAAAATTTTTAATCAACAATACCCTTATCTATGGATTTTCACTAAAAAATACACACTCGCATATAATCCAAAATTACTTAATAGTTGACATTATGGTAATAAATTAAAAATAAATATTTTGATAAACTACTTGAAGCTTTAGATTTATGTCTAAAGAAAAAGGCATTCTACATATCTTTTACAGAAATAAGTAAATGCAATAACTGTAAAATTTTCAGAGTAGCAGTAAAACAAATTGGCAAACTGAAGCCTATTTAAAATACTCTTTAAATTCCAGAAAATTTATTTTTCATTTTTAAAATGACAAAGTTGTAAAATAAACAGACCCCTCACTTCCAAAAAGTTAATTTCAACATTTCCTATAAATTACTCAAAATTTTATACACTATCAAACAGATCATTTAGCTGAAAATAATGATTTTCACATTACAGGTCAGCAAACTAGTTCATAAATTTCATTGCTTCAAATTATTTTTCTATAAAAAAAGTTTGAATAATTTAAAATTCAAGAATAAATTTCTTAATTTTAAGATTTTCTTTCCATATTCTTAATTCCAAACCAACGCTTTAATGCTTAGGTTACTTTTTTAAAAAGTACTTAATTCTGAAAAAATAACTTCACTTTTCAAATACAAACATTTCCACTAAGGTTTAGTCGTGCTAAAAGCGTGATATAACACGTCATACGTAAAACTTTTAAATAATAATAGTATAAATGACTAATATAGTATGATGGATCATAGAGCAAAAAGTGAAATAATCACTCACCCTTGAGCAGAGGTAAAGCTTGAAGTTCAACATCATTCGTAGACCTATACCTAGAAGATCCTTGAGATTTCTTTGGTTTTCTTTTCAAAGATCCTTTTTTAAAAGGATCAATTTTATCCACAAATGGAGTAGCTGTTAAACTTGCTCCCGGATGGGCAGAAGTCATGGTTAATTCGTAGGTAAATAATCCAATGAATATACAAAAAAGTTCGTGTTTTATTTTATTTTAAGTAACAGAAGAAACGATAGTTCGCTAAACATCACAATATTAAAATTAACTTCTCGGTGGAAGACATAATTTAATTCAATTTTCAAACAAATGTGTTGTTATCTTGAGACATATAAAAACAAGGTATTATTAAAGAGTTTTGTAGCATTTTGGACACTGATATCGATTATAATTTGGAGCTATTTAGTTCGCTAACTGAATCAGAAGATTAAAAAAAATCCGAATATCTCCGCATTGACAAATCACCGAATGAAAAACTCTGTCGATAATATCGAAAACGGGAACAAAATCAACTGAACCCAGACAATATTTTCATAACATCTAATTGGATCTGATTCGTACGTTAAGCCTAATTTAGTGACATCAAGCGGTATCCATAATATACATAAATTTGCACACTACTTTAACACTCATAAACACATCTGATGCGAGATATACACCAGCGAAAGCTAACTTTTATAATAACTCAAATTTTAATATCTCACTAAAATTCCCTGACGATAATCGGCACACATCACATACCGAGAAACCGTCATCTCACTATTGCTAGGGCTTGAACCAATCCCAGCTGAGCTGACATGACTTCCATTCAGTCCAATTAAAATTTCTCTCAACGACAGATGAAAATAATTCAAAATCGAAATATGATCATAAAATTGGAATATTGATATTTAAGCGTAAGTATAAGATACAGTTCGAAAGCAGGAGTAAAATATGAAATTTGAAAGCATTCAGAAGTGCAAAATATAAATTTTAACTTATATCAAGAACAAGCTGCATTTTTATAATTTTCGATGTTAACAAATAGAGCAAGTAACTATGCATCACTATAATACGTTTTCAGTTGTAATATAATATAAAGAAAATACATGGCAGTTGTTTTACAGCGCCACCTTTCCTTACAATTGTAAATATTAAATAAGCTGTTTGAATTGGCAACACCTGTACAGTTTGTTTTTTTAATAGGAGGATTACGATGAGAGAAGAGTTCATGGAAAAAAATAAATAAATAAATAAGAAAGAAATGGGCTTCGTTTCTTTTCATATCTAACATTTAGCGATCTTGTATAAGTAAGAACGAAGGAGGTTAGTTATTAATTTATTTTTAAACCTTAAATTTAGCGTAGTTTCGTTTCAGTAGTTAGTGGAATATTGTTTCAAAATGTAAACATGCTTCAGGAAAACTGATTCATTTTGAATATGATAGAGAAAAGTATATGATTTCGAAAGTACATGTACTATTTTAAAAATAATATGAAGAATTTGATTGAAATCGTTCACTAAATTAAAAAAATGAACCCAAAAAACGCTGAAATAAATTTTAGATTGAGAAATAGCAAAGAAATTCCCATGACATCAAAAATCTGCGGCACATATTTTACTCAAACGTGTGGTAACAGAATTCTATTGTATTAAATTTTTAAAAATTTGATCAGAAGCTGTCTAAGAGAGAACTTTGCAAAATCTGATAACAAACTGAAAAGCTGACTACCCAACTGGAACAATTTAGGCGAATCCGTGAAGATAAATTACAAAATGATTTTCAATATTTATTCAACACATCTGATATTAGAGAGAAAGAAATAACAGATAGTTACTTTCCATTGTAGAAAATTATTGTAAAGCGAGACGAGGGCATGAGGAATTACAAGTTTCGAGACAAGACATGAAAATATTACAAGCATGAAATCTAAGAGGATATTGTAATTCAGTTCTATGAGAACTATAATCTCATGCTGGGTGTGAATCAATCAATAATTGCTTGTCTTCTATTTTATGTACCTTAGGCTGATTCTGTTTTCTTGTAGATCAATCGTTTGATTGCGAAATGAAAATGATAAACGAATTTTTGAACAAATGATTTTAACTCCACTGAAGAAAGACTTCCATTTCAAAATTGGAATTACAAGGACTTATTTGACTGATTTCCTAAATTAATCTTCGTAACACTGCAGATTTTTTTAAATAATATTCTGACGATTTAAAGCCTTTACCCCTGCTTTGCTTTGAATTAAGCGGGAAGACGTTTGGCCAGTATTTAGTAAAAATACAGAACCTTTTAACATAGAACACTTAAGAATATGATGCTTTTATCTTTGCCGGCATTAGCTAGAACTATATCTTGCTTTTTCCGCTACCTCAGATAATCCCCGGGTGGGGATTACCACACGTACTAAACCTCAGTGAACTTTAAAATACTTTAAAATAGATATCCAAGTCTCAGGAACATAAAGATTGCGAAATCTAAGCACAGTAATAGCACGTGCAAAGAGTAGTCTCAAGGAACTAGAAAAGGCAGATCAGGATTAAGAATATGCCAATGTAAAGTTCTCTTTAAGGGAAAACTCTTTCGGGAAGCTTTTCTTCGTGTCAGAGGAAAGACTTGGGGCGGGGGTAGTGCCTTAGGACTGGGAATACCAGTCCAAAACGAAAGACACAGAGAGCATGATCGGCTTGGAGACGTGTGTGAGAGGACAGTTGAGAAAAATGCGTTGGCGTGCACTGTATATGTAAAATGTATAATAGTACTTTTTTCTTTGTTTTGGTGTTAATAAAGATGTACATATAAATAACAGAGTGGTATTTAGAAGTCCTAATATGATTAATTTCCATCGCAAAAAAGTGAGCTCGGGGACGAGTCACAGACAAGATTAGGGAATCTGTCACGAAGATGTTTCATAGAAGTGATAGATACTTGTTCTTATAAGGAACCTTTGAGGCTCAAGAAATAGAAAAAGAAATTACCTAAATTTGAGCAACTGTTTAATAAAGAATATCTTAAGGAAAAGAAAAGGCTACAATGATTCTAGTGGCTAAAGTATTTGAAAAATCTTGGTTATCTTATTTCATGAACATATACATAAAAATACACAAGCTGACTGGATATTGAAAGGAAGCTAAGGAAGACCTATTGATTTTAGAATCATCTGTAGGTAAGAAATAAAATCATCAAGGAATCTTTTCCAAGAGAAGCATTTAGAAGGTAGCTCGATCGTACTTGTGTTAAAAACCAAACTGGCTAACTAAGAGATTCAGCATTTTAATAACTTCTGTCAACTATTAAGTGGTAGTAGTGGTTTATTTTATGGTCCACAACATGTGTGCAGAAACAGCTACTAAGGGAACACAAATTTGCGGTTCTACTACTTCAAGAATGTCATTTAGTATCCCGCTGTGGCCTAGAACATTTACTATAATTACTATTTACTTTTTTATAGTAGATTTATCGGGAATATTTTGCATAATCCAAGGAAACAAAAATAACACGAATTATAATTTCTGATTATCTGAACTGTTGAAACATACAACTCAAAAGCTGTGGCAATAACTCCAGTCTCATTCATGGAAAACAAAACTTTTAATCGCAAACGGCTGCACGTACTCATTCACAAACTCTAAACATAGAATTTCCACATATCATCAAAAAATTTTATATGATTTAGTCGAAAGACTATCGTTCATGTCGGTAATGCATATTAAAGCGACCGTGCTATTCATATGCGATTCGGAGTTTTTTTTTTTTTTTTTCCCCAATGGTGGGCACTTACCTATAATGGCATTGGCCTATTAAGGCCATGTTATTCTGAAGGCACCTAATAAGCGGCCATCTTTACATCCTATGAACGGACAGACAATTTTGCATCCGTGCCATCTCCGAGATTCGAACCCGGGCCCTTAGGTATCGCAGTCAGGCTTCCCTAACCAATATATCGTCTGGGCGGCCCGATTCGGATTTATAAGATTTAATGCTGTTATATATTTACGTAAATTAATCATCATATGCCACACACTACATGACCGATACTCCGTTTTTACTGGAAAAGATTACTTATATTCGTGCAGTATATTTCTTTACATGTCTAGACAGTATAGTTGTTAGTGGAAGCTAACAATTAATCTGAATTCCACGGTACGGGTCTGAGTTCTGCGTAATGGTTTTCTGCTTGTGCGTATCCTCCCCCTCCTTGTCAGTGAAATATCTTTCACATACATTTGCACACCATTGGCAAAGCTGTTAGTCATGAAACGGATATGGTCATTTTCGACGGGTTTATTAAATTTTAAATGTCCAGTCATTTCGATTTCAGGTAATATCACAAATAATCTGGATCTTATGTGAAGTAACCACGAATAATCTGGATTATACGAAATGTACAGTCTTCAAGCTTCTGACAGCAGAGACGTAGCTAGGCTTTTCAGCGCTCGGGGACGACTGAAGTTTTCGCGGCCCCCTCTTGTTTGCTAAAAATGGAAAGCATTTAACTTTAAAATTTCGTAACAACAATTTGTCGCCCATTGGAGGCTGCGCCCGAGAACAAATATCCTCTCTTGCCCCCCCGCCAGTTACGCCACTATCTGGTAGTGGCTAGTACGTCTATTAGTAGTTAGACAGTGGTTAGTAATGTACGACACTGTCTTAATATTATTTTGGGCATTTTTCTGGGTAAAAGAGGCTCTTACTGAAGACTATAATTGATGAATTTTGCCTTGCGTTTAACTTCTTATAAATGTGACACTTATATACTTACAACTCGTGCACCGTGTCAGTTACAACTCGTGCACTATTTGTGTAAATTTTAAAACACTTTATTGATTCTGTACCATCTTGAGTTGCAAAGCCATCAAGTAGCTCCTGCGCTGTTACTCAACCTGAAAGAGTCTTATGGATTTAGTGAATAATAGGGGCTTGGTTGTTGTTTCTTTATCAACAAATAAACTCTCTTCTGTTTCAATACAACACTAAGATATTGAAGTAAAAGCTTTTAAGTTTTTTACTGAAATAGCATTATTCATTAGTGTAATGAAAAGAAAGAGAGTTATTTAGAGGGACGAGTACTCTTTACAGATGAGAGCAGATTCAGTCTGAGTAGCGATTCTCATCGCATACTCATCTGGAGAGAGCGGGGAAGCCGCAATCATCCCTCGAACATCATTGA